CTGAACACATCCGCCATCAAACTCCACTCTCTTCCATTCTCCTCCTCCTGCTTCTTGCTGCTGCTGCTGTTGTTGTTGTTTCTGGACCCCAAAACCTTCTCGAATTCATCGTACTCCACGAAGCCGTCCTTGTTTGCGTCGGCCACGGAGATCATGGATCCTATGACATCATCTTCAATATCCGACGTCCCGGCAGCCAAATACCCACCGTAGAAAGCCTGGAGATCATCGCGGCTGATCTTTCCGTCGTGGTCCACGTCTAAAACATCGAATGCTGAACGTAAATTTGATCTTCTTCCCGTCTCCTGAGCAGCCAAAACGCTTCCTGTTGGACACATTTTGGTGGAATGGAATTCTTTAGCCCCACGAAACAAGGAGAGAACTAACTAATTGGATTCGATTCGTATGCTTGCTGGGAGGATCGCAACGTTGTGTCAATCGATTCTTGGTAGACTGGGTGGACTTGATTCCTTCCCCACCCCTCCCCCAGCTCCTATTTATAGCAGGACTTCCGGAGCTTTGGGGGCCCATATCCAGCCCCATGGGCCGTGTCAAACAAGCTAGGACGCCCGCTGGCCGCTGCTACTACTTATAAAATGATTGGATCAGATGCGTATGTGATGACGTCATGAATCTTTTGGCCTCGAAAGCTTGTGGTTATTGGCTCGTTGTTCTAGGTTCTTCCAAGATAGCGCAGCGCGTTTTGTGTTGCAAAATTGGCAAGTACTTTTCGACGGGGGCAAGGGGCCTTCAGCCTCTCCTTCGTGAGTTGTAAGCCAGAGAGAGAGCTTTCTAAATACCTATATGATTGTGATTTTTCAATACCTATGGTAGTGATTCTCGATAATTTCAATACCTATATGATTGTGATTTTTCAATACCTATGGTAGTGATTCTCGATAATTTCAATACCTATTGTAGTGATTTTTCATGGTTGTAACCAGGGTCACTGGTTGAGATTAGTTGGATCTTAAATTTTTGAAAAGAAGTAAAGTTAATCGGAAGAAGTATATAACAATTATGAGCGTGTACATTTATATGATACGCTAAGTATGATGTATGTATATTAAAAGTACACTCATTCAAGAAACCCTTTCATATAAATGTTATAAACTAATGTGACACTCCTTAAAAAAGCAAAAAACTAAATGTGACACGCCCTTTTTTAAATTAACAGATGATCCTTTTTTCTTCAATTGGTAATGTCTATTCTATCATAGAGGCAATGCAATCCTATTGAGACTAAATGAGTGCTCTGATATTTACTTTCAAATCTTTTTAAATAGTAGGGTGTGAGGTTTGAAACAGATTTTTAATTCTCCTTGAGTAGCCAATTTGACCAAAGACAAGTCAAATAACAACCGAGAGCACTTGATCGGCCCAAAAAATCTCCAATTGTTTCTGTTAGAGGTCTAGAATCACAACTTTTTGCTTTTGGAATTATTACTAGATGGTAGCTGTAGACCACAAGCCAGCAATTGGCTGGTCGGATTTGTACTTTTGTTCTAGGAACCTAATTGGAGGAACTTGTGTTTCTACTCTAATCTATTTTAGAGGGTGAGTGGCAAAATGATAGAAGACAATATTTGAACTTTGACCTCCCACTCTACAAAATTTAAATTATTTGAGGTGACCAATGCCCCAAGTGGGCATTAGTTTTGAAATTTTACAGGTTTTTTTTGTTTTGTCTGTAATGACAACTATCTAATTCATTCGTATCTATATCTATATAAATTTGAAAAGGGATTTTTAGCAACGAATTTCCACACACCTTCCCTCTCTCAATTCCATTTTTTTAGCATTTTATATTTAATTTATTTCGTAAAATACATAATGTCTATGTTTTCATCAAATAAGAATACCACTCCAATTAATACTCCTCCCATCACATAACTCCTCACTCCAATTAATACCTCTCCAATTAACAATTTTATTCCAATTAAAACTCCTCTAACCCAATAATAAGAGATAACAACATAATTTCACAAAAAACTGCAATTTATTATCTCTTTCAACTTCCCTCTAGAGTGAATGAGGAATAGATACTTAATTGTGGAGACATGGAAAAGGAACGAGTCCAATGTGAGACTGCCCATTTGGGTTTGTATTCCATTTCTTGGGCTCTGATTTAAATAAATAATTAAGATAACAACCTTACAAATAAAATAAGGAATAGGGAATGCGATTTTGTCTAACATGGGAAGTAGGGTAAAACACATATTACTACAAAAATCTATATCTACAAGTATTGTATGGAAGGTTTTTTGGATGATTAAATCAGAATGCTTATAACTCCTTGTTATATTTTTTTTATAGAATTTTAAACTTTTTTAATTGTTATATATTTTTTCATGTCTTTTGAATTTAAAAGTAAGGAGTGGCTTACTTATATAAGAATTTGATTTGAAATCTATTAATGTGAGAGTAAATAAAGAGGAAAACCACCAACCTTAATAAAAAGTAAATAACAATATTTTACTCTTTAACTCAGTCATCCTAAGTAAAAGGACAAATTATATAGAAAACAAAAAGGTCTGAAAGTCATAGAAGGCAGCGGATAGATAATTAGCAGGTAAGAGAGGATAGAAAAGTGATAGTTTTTAATAATTTTGAAAATTTTGAAACACATCTTAGAAAGATTATTTTAAATACATATTAAAATTTATAAACAGCATTATTCTATAGGCACTCAACAATTTTAGGATTACAAAATGAGAGAAAATTTTTTAAAAATTGAGGAAAATGAATTAGTTATACTTTATATTTTTAATGTTAAAAATTTTGGTATACGAGTATAACATGATATATTGATAAATAAGTTTACAATTGCTCTATCATATAAAGCGTTATAAATTAAATTATTTTATTAAAATTGTTATCATATATTGACAAACAATAGGTTAACAAAATTTGGGTTTAACTTATTTAAGATATTAAAATTAAGAAAGTCCATTCTGTACTTATGAAATAAAATTTTTTAAACATATTAAGCATACACGTCTTTAAATTTTTTTGTCTTTTTTTTATATACTTTGTCTTATACTATAATATATAAGTATTGTTTTAAATTAAAATATAAATCCGTGCATAGCACGGGTCATAATGCTAGTTTTAAAAAAGGAAAGGAGTCTAAAAAGACTTTGAATGGGGGTTAGGAGATGAACCATCAGATCGGACAAGTGTACTACTGCATTTTCTACATTTTTTTAAGAATGGAAAGCATGAATATTTTAAAAACAAAAAGCAATGCATTAGATGGGGTTTAAACTCCCTTATACACGGAAGCGTTTTAAAGGGACTCTTCTGACTACTAAATTGATTTTGAGACTTTTCACGCATATGAGACTTTATGGGCTTGGAGGCCATAAAGGCAACTTATTGATGCACAAATCATGGCCTTCACTTTGTACTTGCTTTCCTTCTGGTCACCGGCAGCCAGCAAGGACTTCAGTCAAAACAAATACGCCGAAAGAAATCCAGTTTCTGTCCCCAAGTGGGTATTCCGTCAAACTATCACAGGCCCCCAACATATATTAATGTACACACGTTGTTGGCTTAATTAATGGAACGAGGTCAAAATTTTTTTGATAAAACAAAAGAGAACTCCATAATATTTTGAGGGGGAATGGAAGGGGAAGCAAACGTAGCCGTCAAATGTGAGAGGCGACTGCGTAGTTTGCCAGAATCTTTGTCAACTAGCTTAGCATGATGTGAACTCCAATCTTAGCAATATATTTCTTGAGATTGAGAATCTTTAGCAATACTCCATCCTTTTTTTTATAACTGACGTTTAAAAAATTTGCTCTAGTGTACTTTTATCTGTCGTTTTATTATCCCATACAGTATTAATTATTTTTTTATAATTTTACCCTTTTATCTCTCTTTTCCAATACAAGGTTCTTAATTACATTTAGTTTGGTGGGAGTTAGTTTGCATTGCTTTTGGCATAGTAAAACAGCATCATTTAGTACTCTAGTGAGAGAAAATATGGGCGAATTGGATAATTAATGAGGGTACAAAAGGAAAATAGTGTACATATTTAAGCAATGAAAAATTTTTCTTAATTGGTGTGCAAAATCTTAAACGTCAATTATAAAAAAAGGGAGGGAGTATAGTTTAGTGGCTCGGATTTTCTTCTCCACCAAGCATCTAGCTGTCTTGTCAAAGATGGCCCGGCCCTTTGCATTCTTACGTTTTGCGCATTGATTCTTCGACAGGGCATTTGCAATGTGAATATTCTTCCACGAGCACCCATTAACCAAACGGGGGTATACATAAGTGAATGATTTAGAGAGCAGAGCTCATAATTTCAGTTGGACAAATTTCTCACGCGCCCCTTTACGCTTTTTAAACACACACCTCTCATGTTTTAAAAATGAGTACTTATATCTTCTACACTTTAAATTTAAGTAAGTAAAAAAAAAACATATGAAAATGGACTTCACTAACAGAGATTTTACCATACATGCACCAATATGTATGATTAGTTACTTGATTACAATAATGTGAAATATTGGATCCTTTTTTGTAGAGTGCAAACATTCATTTAGAGGCATTTTCGGAAGAAAAACGTTACCAAAATTTAACATCATTAGAAATAAGTAATCGGTAGCACTGTTAGATTATTGCATGGTTAAATTTTCAGTAGTAGAATCCAATTTTGTTTGTTTTCTACTCAAATCCAGAGCAAGAGGAGCGTAAGTGAACATTTTTGAATCACAGGAGCTGTATCTCCTGGAAACAATTTAACCACAGGCGTAATTTTATGGAGTTTTCCACCCTATATGAAATGCCAAGACATCCTTAAAATACAGCAGTCTTGCAACCTAGCACTTGACGCAAGTTGGGCCCTAAAAGATATAACTGGCGGTCCAGTCATGACGACAATGGGCCTAGTCTACATCCATTTCTGCACTGGACTGGCCCAAGGAGCTTTTGGTCATTCAACAAATCTAGTTAAAACCCTAACCCCATGACCCTTCAATATATATCTCTGTATCCAGTCATCTCGTTCTTCTTCCACAATCGCTTCGGAGGCAAACACGACACGCTGAAAATTTTGGTGGGTTTTTTGTTTTTTAATATTTATTTTGTGGTGTTCCATGATATTGCCTCCTACCGGAAACCTTTGCTCAAGCCTAATCAATGGTAAGGGTTTCTCAGGTTGTGTGTATATGCACAAGATTTGGCGGGGGCAGAGAGTGGGTGAGCAGGAGAGTTGAGTCACTTCGCCCGTTGCCGCTAGGTGCAGTGAATAACACCCTGCCAAATTATTCTTTTTTCTTTTTTCTTGTTACTAATACTCGTCTTTTTTGTGATTTTTTTTATAAAAAATTTATATGTTATTCCGGGGAAATTAGCCCCAATTTTCTTTTGAAAATGTTGAAATTTGGGGGGGGATTCCTATGATGGCATGGAATCTTTGAGACCTGATTGTCTATTTTGATGACAATTATAAGCATCTTTTTCTGAGGGCTCCTATCCCAAATTCAGAAACTTTTTCTTTTCAATTTCGATGCAATTTCATTTATGACGAGTAGTTGTCGCCCTATTTTCATTCACCAATTTTTATTTTTATCTTTATTTTTTAAACTAGAGATGATGATTGCACTGGGCTCTGAGCAGCTAAGTAGCTGCAAATTTTGATGGACAATGCAGCCTAGAAAGCTATTTCTGATCTTTTGACTGTTTTTAATATTGATTGGACTAGCAAATTCTTTGATTTTTTCCCCATTATAAATATGACTAGCTTAAATGGAAAATCATTCGTTAAGCTTGATACATGAATGCCGGGAAGGGGGATGCAGGAAGTTTCACATGTTACCCTTTCTGCGGAGAAACATGTAGAGTCCAATAATAATTTTATCAAAAGATTTGAGGAAGATATATTAAGAAAAAGGGGAATTAAGGGTGATATTAAGGATACAATTTACAACTAGTCATGAAGTATAATATCAACATGATGGAAATGACAGCTTGTTTAAGTTCCAAAGGAAAAAAAAAAGAGTGTACGAGGCAGACGCTCAATTAAATGCTTCTTGACCATGATCACTAACGAGTTTTAATTTGGCTAAATAATTTCTAGCCTATAAGGTTTAAGCCTTAAAGGTGAACTTCAATCGTGAAAGAGCGAGCGGAAGTTTTTGGTGGTTGTCGGGCCCCAATGTTTTCTTTCTGGTGTCAAACTGATCTAATTATAACCTAATCAAAGTGCCAGAAGTGACACAGATTTTGTCGTAAAGGTGAACTTCAATTTCATAAGATGTACCAAAAAGCATATAAAAATTTCAAATCCTAAAACTTGTGCAGAAAAGGAGCATATCCTTTTAGATTGCTGCCACTTGACATCGCAAGCATGCACACATGTTCTCCACGGTGCAAGAAAGGGAACAGCTTCCTTCTCTTCCTCAAAATTGTGTTCGTTGTTTTACATAGAAAAAATGCTTCTGCCATCGGTATAAAATTGTTTTTAACGAACTGGTGCTGAAAAGAAGATTACAACAAAGTATACAACAAAACCAGCTAAGAGAATTCCAGCATAAATGAAGTTTTGTGAAGACTGCACCGGAAGTCTGTACTCAACGCTGCAACATTTCATTTGCTCTCTCTCACGGGCCAAAATATGGTCCACATACCTACGCGTAAAGCATGCAAACAATCACACATAGGTTGTTTAAACAGGAAGATGTAACTGAAAAAAAACCACTCGATCAAGCTGAAACTCGCAGGGTAACTTACTGCTCGGTGAATATGGAGCTCTGGAAAATCTGGGTACTATTCAAGTGTGCATCTTGTAGCCGATGATCGTAAAGCAGGGAAGACAGATCAACAAGCTGTTCTTCAAGGTTCTGTTATCCAAAGATGTGAAATTATTCTCGTAAAATTGCTCGTTACTTTCTAAGCTGAATGCAGTTAATTTCCTCGAGATAAACTTACATCCAGGTACTTTTCCAACCGCTCAACCAATTCATGCGGGAACGGTTCAGGCAAGGTGGTAGTTTTCTTATAAAACTTTTCCAGCCAGAGCTCAGTGCTTGACTTGTTCTTTTTACCCTTCACCGGTTCACCAAGAGGAGTTTTCAAGTACTCTGCAGCGAAAGCTTGGATAGCCTAGGAAAACACACGATTTGTGATAACAAGAACATTAAACCTTCTAACTTTGACCTTGCAAAGATCATATTAATCATGTTACCTCTGATGTATCCCTTATTCGGTGAAGGGCAGAATCAACACGTGCATAGATTGTGTTCCTCTGAGTACAATAAGTAATGAGGATAGATGGTCTTAAACAAATGTAAGCACGGTAGAGATGAAAAGGAACAAAATCACCAACTCCAAGAGGAACAAAAATACGAACAATATGCAGTTTCACTAATAATCTTAAAGAAATTCATCAATTTTCAACGTAAATGGATATTTTTCATCATGCTAAACAAAGTATCAGCCAATGAAACAGTAAGACAGGACGTACCAGTGCAACATCCTGCAGCATTTGACTAATTCCTGAAGTATTAGAAAATGGTCCAAATGGATGACAACCAGCAGCCCAAAGCCAATTTACAATGGGCCTTTCATGCACATGAGACGCCTTTTCATATGGCGCACTCAATCCGCCTACAACAGAAGCCAGCCCCGCCAATATATGTCGCTGTGCTTGTGATGGAATAGCTTGCCTTCTTTCCAATTCCGAAACATAACTGCCAGAACATAAGGAGCCAAGCGAGATCTCATACAATTTTGTTGTAGGATTGGATAAGACATTCAAATAGACTCATCATCACAGTAACAAAATAGTTCAGGGACATGTTTGCCAAATTATCTGGATTTTGGTGAAGTTTCGAGAGGATTTCAATTAGCTATAAAACATTGACAATGCCAAACAGGAATCTTTTTCGCATAAAATGTGTCGCGGCAAGAATGAGCTGAATCTCCAATTAGCTATAAACCATTGACAATGCCAAACAGGAATCTTTTTCGCATAAAATGTGTCGTGGCAAGAATGAGCTGAATCTGAAGATGCTAGCAATTCAATAACAATAAATCGTTTGCAACAATCAGCATGTCACTGACTAAATGAGGAATACTTGACGACTAACCTCAACTGTATCTTTTCACTTTGATGCTGAAGGACAATAATTACTTCATTACTTGTCCATACAAGACTTTCATCCTCCATCATAAGATTTTCATCAACATCGGCTAGTGATAGAACAAAGCTGCATAGAATAAATTAAAAGATTATAAAAATGCTTCAGTAGGGTAACCAGGAGTCTTTTAGTACATTAACCAAACAATACTCAAACAGTACTACCAAAAGACAATTGAAGGCAAAGCTCATTTATTTCCTGCTTTGAACAGAGAACATTAAAACCTGATCATTACCAATCATGAAGTGAATTTATTATGCAGCTTTATTCTGTTGGGATAGTATACATATGGCTAATTAAGGTGCACATGCATTCAAGAATGCCAAATCCAAAGCATACAAGGTATGATTTAGTAGTTACTCCATGATTGAATTGAAAAACGGCCACTTTAACATTCATTCACAAAAAATACCAACCATGCCTTTAATAAAACTTGTATTGCATGAAACTACTTTGAGACGACATTGATCAAGACTATTTGAAGAGATGGATTTTGTGCTCACACTGGAATAACTCTAGTTCCATAGGTCCGGTACAAATCCCCTTGTTTCTTCATCTCTTTTCTCCGTTTCTTGTCCTTTCCCCATTGGCCATAAGTAGCCCAGATAGGTTTGTGTTTTAGTAGGGAATCACTTGAGCTATCACTTTGATCCACCCAGTTCTGGAGCAAAATATTTGACAATGAAACTTTAGCAAAAAAGGTTGGTTTTCTTTTGTTGGTTTTTTTTGGGGGAGGGGGGGGGAGGGTGTATGACCCAACAAAACAGACATCATTTATAAAAAACTGACTAGAAGCTATTTTCTGACATAAAGATGAAGCTTCACAAAGATCATATTTTTCAACACAACTTGTACATGTTTGATTATTCGGTGCCAACCTGTCTGAGGAAAAATTTGCTTGAAAGGGATGGATCAGACACCTCGAGTAGACCAGCAGCAAGGACATCAGCTGACCGCTCCATTTCCTAGCAGAAATGCATGTTTGTTAGTTCAAATTTTAAGTATGTCATGACAACAAACATATATGCGACATAAAACTTAGAATCCTATCCAAAGAAAACTTGCATGCATCATAAAATGGTGTTAGGATAAATTTGAAGAGAACAAATTAAACCTCTTTCAGAATAGCACCATCCAGATATGTCTTTGTATGCACATGGAAGCGTCCATCTGTCTTGGTTTCTTGAAGGGAATGCCCTCTCATTGCTTTCGAAACAGCAATAGCCAACTTTTCATGGTGATGCAGCGGATGTACACCTCCTACTATTACTACTTCCTCACCCCGGTGAACCATTTTCTTAACCTGAAAAGAGCATCACACAATGCTCAATTAGGCTATACCCTTATCAAGATTTCTCTAAACATAAGAGCACAAAGAGGAATGAAGAAATTTCATATCTTAAAATCTTGTATCTACCAATTTAATATAGACATGAATCTCTAGTTATGGTCACAAACATTTCAAGGCATGCAGCTCTAAACTTTCTAACACAAAAACTAAGAGAACTCAACCCCTGGATAGAAATCAACATCTCTCAATCACTTCTGCAAAGAGAATTAATGATTCTGTTCATCATGGTCAAAGTATTTCAACAAATAAATGGTAACCACCTTTTTCAACAAAAATCAGCACTAAATATTGGTTTTTGCATACTTGTAACAGGTGACAGTGTGCAGAATCCAAGCTGGGAACAAGCGGAGAGTAATGTTGAAACAGTTCTAGGATGCAAAGAATACCAATGAAAGAGGGTTTGCTATAATCAAAAGACATAGCAAAGACTGGCAGAGAATTTGGTCTGCAGGGCAAAAAGCACGAACTCTTAAATTAATGTTTACCCATGACAGTACCAGACGTATTTAACACCTAAAGAACAACTAGATCTATAGATGGATAAATATAACTTTCTGCCAAAGCAGCCTGATTCGTGGGCAATTAAAGAGGGTAAGGAAGTTTTAGCCAATAGAAAATCTCAAAAATGGAATATCAAAAGGCCTACATCTATGCATTCAATACTCTAAATAGCTAGCTCAAATGATATTGAAATTTGCACATTATCAAAACTGTCCCCCAGAGGACTTAAGTTCGAACCATCAATCTTCATGTTACAGCCTCAAAATCCATAAACACTATGAAAGAGAACTTCCAACAGATAAAAATCAAATACTCTCTCAAAGAAAATATCTCACCTCAGCCTCAATAGCTTCAATATTAATACTGTAATTGTGGCCTGTCTCCATGATATTGTAACGATTATGATTTTGGAGGACAATTATTGGTATAAGCAACCTCGTTGCCATATCAACAGTTTCAAACCTGGTCCAGGATCATAAGTGAGTGTTTTAAGTATAGAAATGTTGCAACTATTCCTTTATCTATCACACAAAGCTCATTAAAGTGAACAAAAAAACGTGAGATTATTGAGATGTTCTGAATATTAATGCCCATTCAAATATCAACAGATTATACCTAACATCCGGAGCAATAACATGCTCAACTGTGGTCGCAATCAGAGCACCAAGCTGCCCAACAAATATATCATGTGCAGAATGCTCACTCACTAAATTTGATCCTCTTGGAAATATGACGTTTTTCAATCGAGGTAGTGTTTTAGAGCTAACACTTCCTTCTTCAGTTTCAATTTTTCCATATGTGCAAGGGCCAGCTGAGAGGTCAATCACAACAAACCTGCAATTATGACAATGTTGTCAAGTTTGCACCAATGATGAATCAAGCAACTTGCTAATGCATGGCTTATGTCCAACACATCAAAGTTATTACAGAAGACACAGTCTTATTCTTGCAAAACAGCCCCTCAGATAAACAAGTCTAAAAACAACTCCCATGAATTGTCAATTGCAGATTGAAGCACACAGGACAATTTTTCTTGTGCACAAATAGATAGGTCTTTGACAGGTAAATACTTCCATTATGAAGCTTATATGAATTATACCTGCCAGAACTCAGCCAAACCTGAGTTGCTCCCCCTCCATTATAACGATATCGATAGATGTAATCACCCTCTTGCTTTTGCAGCTCTTCCTCATTTAGCTGTGCAATTCTTCCATACATCAAACTGTCAAGATCGATATCCTTGTTCCTTGGATCAACTCTTACCTATACAGAAGAAAACCAAGATTCAAAAGAAAGAAACAATTCTTAGAGCCCCATCAATTGCTATGATGAAGATTGAAATGTTATTTTATGAAACAATTCAAGGAAAGCATTACACAGTTCTGAGTTAACAGAAGCAATAATAAAAAAAAACTAATTCCTTGGCAATGATATATTATCTCAACATTTTAGGGTGGATAAACAATACCTTATCAAAATTGACAACAAAAATTGCAGTTGGCCAAGGTCTGTCCATTTCTTCCACAGAATGTCCTCCATTTTCCATGTCAAACAGGAAGGAATACAGATTCTGAAACTCTGCCTCAACAACTGTTGCATCCACCTCAAACAAAGGAACTTCCCTTCCAAAATCAGCCTGCGCACCAAATAGCTAAGTTGGAATTATCGCCTAAAAAACTGCAAAAGTAGAAATTGATACTTAAGACTAGGTAAATAGATGTTGTGACCTCTCTGGCTGTGCCAGCAGGAAGCATTGCTTCTTTTAATGCTCTCTCAAGGGCGATAAGTTCTGGCTGCCCAACCTGTTGAAAAAGTGAGTGTTAAAGCTAAAAAGGAAAGAGCAAAAAAACATAAAGTGAAATAACTATTTGTCTTGTTAACATCTAACTTGACAGAGATTTCAACTACATGTCCTGTTGAAGTTCATTACATGTTTTAAGGTGTGAAGCAGTCATCAGCATTGGTAAAACATGGATAGAAATGGCAATTCGGGTGGGTGCCCATGGGGGGTTGATGGGGCGGGGGTCAAATTCTCCCCCCATTAAAAAACGGGGCGTGGGAGCATACCCCTGCCCCATCACCCACCTGAAAAAAATAAATGTATATTATAATTACATATATAATATATTTAATATTGTTAGTTATAATAATTATGTTATTAGTTATAAGTGTCAGATTATGTATATGTAATATAATTAATACTAATAATTATACATTTCTACTAATACAAATTACTGATCAGTTGTAGATTTATACTAAATTACTATTACATATACACTTATTCTATTAGCCCCTGTGGGAGGCAGAACAGGGGTGGGAGGGACGGGGAATGTTTGGGCAACGGGGTGAGGGGCGGGGGATCACCCCATTGCCATTCCTAAACATAGAAACTCAATTGGAGCTAAAGTTAAAGCCTTTGAACAGGAAACAGTTGAATTTTGTTGTGCTGCTTCCATTGTAGCTCTGATAATCGTTGCAGTCTTTGAAGAGCCAAGCAAGTTATTTTATGGCTAATGGGAGCTCTTTTTGCATCTGCTGTCTGTATAAAACTTATTCACCATACCTCACAACTACACATAGCTGGAGCAGTGGAAAGCAACAAGACCAAGATATATGTATAGCTAGTAATCTTGTCTGCGCTATTACAATTCTTCAAAAAAAAGCATATAAAATTTTGAAAATTTAAGTTAAATGATTCTTACAGGGAATACATTATACACGATGTGATGCTCTATATCAAGAGGCTGGCCTGTCTCAAGGCATGACAGCCTATGAGATGCGAAACTGACTCTCATAAAATCCTCTAACTTTTGAGAATCAATGGTATACCTATAGCCTCCGTCACCATTAAAACCAATGAGGACAATATTTACTTCAAGGGGTACTTGAAACGGAACCTGCATGATCCAGAGAATAAAGTTAAGTCCCGGATTCAAATAAAATTGTTCTCAACAAGAATAAAGCAGATGTTAGTTTTGGATACAAAGAAGAAAGTTAAAATTCAATGCCTTTTCACTTTGAGATGCAAAGGGAATGGAAAAAAAAAAGGAAAAATATAGAAATTTATTTCCTAAATTAAAGACAAAATGCTTGTAAAACAGAATTCATCCCTTGTGATTATGAAATGAAAAAGAGAAATAAGTGTGAAGCTTAATCACAACCACGAGGTTGAACAATGAAAAAGCAGCACAGAAAAAAGCTGCTTAACTGCAGACTGCACTTTCTTGAGAACATTAAGTACAAGTCAAAATTAATCACACTGCCGTTTAACAAAGCCTAAAACCATAGAATTGAAATGATCATAATTCTACTACCCTGAAAGAAATTATAGTTCAAAGCTAAGCGAATAAAAGTTGCAAACAATCAAATCACTCACATAAAAAATTCCAGCTAGCAAGCTGTATTATCTAGTAGAAAGGCCGAAGTTCCAAGCAATTAACCAAAGGAAGCTAAAAAGAAAAATATCTAAAAAGAAAGAATCACTGAAGAATGAATAGAAGACATCTCCAAGCAGAAAAAAACACGGAAACAAACATAGAACAAAAACAGTATACCTCGGCGCGAGAATGCAGCATTTGACGGACTTCAGATCGGACGGAATCTTTGACATCCTGAAAGGCTCCATGATGCCACTGCAGATGCCCTGCTTCTCTTCTCACATAAGCTTTGGGCGTTGCCGCTTCAACCCCGATACAACTAGTCTCCTCCTTCACTACCATCGCTATTAATATCAAAATCCCCAATATCAAACATTTGTTGCTCCACCTTGCTCCTCCTCCTCCTCCTCCTGCTGCTGCTCCTCCTATTAGCATCTTTGTCTTTTATTTTATTCCAAATACTGATAACAAAATTACAATCGCTCTTTTGATTTTTCTTCTTCTGTGTTTATACTAGACTGGTGTCTCTCTTCGCTCTGCGTTTCAATGGGGCTTCTGTCCAAGCCAAGGAAGTCAAAAACCCGTTTATTTATTTATTTTAATAAAATTTTAAACCGGGTCTAAGCCGTGGTTAACTCCGATCTGGTCTAACCGAAATATCCCCAATTATTGTTTTGTTATCGCATGTCGGATGAAAGATTCCAGGCTTTAGTGTAGCAGAGTTTTTAGATTATATTTTAAGATATTTTTAAAAAATATTTTGGAATATTTAAGAGTAGAAGAGTTTCTAAAATATATTTTGAAATATTTTTAAAATTTTAAAAAAATTTAAACTAATTTTTAGATTATCTTTTAGAGTACTTTTTAAAAATTTATATTGTATTTGAAAAACTAATTTTTGAAAAACACTCCCATCCAAACAGAGCATCAGACTTTATGAAATTTGTCAATGAGAAATGAGTTACGGCTCATAAATTGTAAAGAACGAATATTGTCAATAAAAATAATGAAATTATCCTTATTTGCATATTCAAGAACTTATTATATGGGCATACATCATATATACACATTCTCAGGTTATGTATATTAATTTAGATATGCATATTTTGATATACACAAACATTTATTGAAATCCACATTTATAAAAGTCGTTGTTCAAAAATTTATTTTGTGTTTCTTTTTTGAGGTTGATATGTTCATAGTCATCATATTGAGTCGGTTTGGATAGTAAATTATTTATATAAATTTATCTGAGTGCATCGATACACATATGCATTTTTCAAACATGGTAAAAACTATGTAAAATGACAAGGAGAAAAAATGGTGAGACAAAATTTAAGTTAGAGGACCAATTTCTCTCCCTTCTCAAAAAAAAAAAAACAGAGGCTGTCATTACAGTTTCAAGTACTACGCCACACCCCCACTAGAATAAAATTTTGATATTTAGCTCCATTACGTTTATTAATGCTTTCACTTGTAAGTGTACATTCCACATTCACTAAATATTCAAACCACGCATGAAGACCTAATTCGATTTCAATCTCGTATACATAAGCTCACAAAGCAGTTCAAGAATTCAATCAAAAGATACCGAGGAGTCCAATTGGCAATGACAGTGCACTTAGGTCAACAATGCGATTCAAGTGAAGAAACACAGGAGACACTGAGGAGTGTTCATTTTAAATGGACTAAACCGGCTCTCTGACTAAGACTATTCTGATTAAGGTTGCGTTCGGATTGCATTTTCTAGGATTTTTTTAGAAAAATTACTGTAATGATATGACGTATACGAGGAAAAAATGTAATAAAAAAATGTGATCACGAAAAACGACGTAATTTTTTCACGAAGAATGACTGTCCAAACAAGGCTACTGTAGTATTCGGCTTTGGATAAAACTCATCTCCAAAAAGCCACCTCTTCATCAATTGGTCTACTGTAAAAAAATACTAGTATATGCTACGGATGAAGGCTCTTTGCCGTGGAGAGTAAGGGTAACCAAACAGAGCCGAAGAGCTAGAACTGGCGGACTGCCGAGGAACATCTCTGTCAATCAAAGGAGGAATCTTCCCGGAGACAGCACTACTTGGAATATTTTCTGACTTGTTGAAGTTCTTGCAATACGGACAAATTTGAAACCTATTCAAAGCTGATTGGTAGAAATTAAAATTGGCTTAAAATGAGAAGCTGCCATGCATTATAGTTAAACTGACGACTGAAATCAAGAAAGGCTTTCACTCTACATCACGAGCAGGAACTACAATGCCACCCAATTAAGACCATCAAAAGCGATGCAATGTCAAGGAATTTCTGAATACCACCTGATCATTCGACCATATCTGCAAAAGAGCAATTAGATCTGACCGTTATATTCTGCCATGTAAGAATTGAGTTAAGACCATCATCAGTTTCTGGCCCCATGATCTTGGAAACAAATATATCTAGTCAAACAGAAAATTATAGCTGTTCTACTCCCGTCTGCTTCCTCCTCTACACCATTAAAACGAATTTTGATGTCAACAACGTTACCAGTCTTCATTCAAAAATCTTCTTCAGGACCTTCAAAATTCTGCTTGATATTCCTTGTTTGGATTCTTTCGCACTTGACCGAGACTTCACTGCATCTGACGTCGCTTCTTTTTCTTCTCTCCTGCCTTCCAATGGTAATTTCTTCATTTTTGGTGGAGAAGTGTCAATCCCATGGAAGGCCGACCTAAGATCCAAATGCATCTTCTCCAAATTTGCCTTAAATTTGCTTGACACTGGAACAGAGGACAATGAAGCTGATACGCACTCTTGATATTGGCCAACGGTAGCATCACCATTTATATAAGCCCTGATAGCCGCCAATATAAAATCTCCACGTGCTCGAAAATGTTCTACAACAAAACTCTCAAAACCCTTTGGTGCCTTTCGCAAATTGTACAGCATTGTCTTACAAGACGAGATAAAAACCTCTTCATTATAAGCCATTGATTTTTTGGTCCAACGTTCAGCCTTGCTGTACAGTCCAACTTCACGTCCAGGCTCATTGAAGTATGGCTTACTGTTAAGCACAAGTCCTTGAACGGAGACCAACAGCTGAAGAATGGTGGACTTAGCAGGAGTCCATAACTCCACACCTCGACCGGTCCAAGTATGGATCAAACTCAAGCAAACCGTCCCGTTTGAATATAGATTGGGATTTAAACGCAGGCCATGGGCATGATAATACACTTTAGGAGGTTGGTTTGGATAATCAGAAGGCAGAACAATGTCAAGGAAGAAAAGACCATCATGATAAGGAGTTCCAGCAGCACCAATGATCACAGCTCGAAGCAAGTCAATTCTCTGCTCATAAACGCGTACATAAATGGAGTCAGGAAGATCTTTCTCAAGGATTTTCCACTCTTTTGCAATTTTCTTCGACACGGCACTTGTTGAATCGTTGAAGCAGCCTTGAGCCTTTTTGGACTTGTTAGAATGAATGAAGTAGTGATCTGAATGAGCTGAATCACCTGATAAAATGTCGAACTGTGGAAATACGATGGTGTTGGCAGCAACTTTGTTATCACCTGATCAACAGAGAAATAAATAGCAAGTACTGATGAAGATTGTAATATGCAGAGACAAGAAAATCAAAAAGGTACTGATGAGTCCTGGTTCATCCCTCGATCCTTTTTAACAGGTTGATGTGCGTCATAGGACTAACTGAAATAGCATTGAATGCATTAAACCATCAATATCTCCTAAGTTAAATAGTAAATATTTGCCCCCAAGAATTAGGCTAGGTATATAGAAAAACAAAATCAAGGTAAAACATCTACTAAACAGAGTTCATGCAGTAACAGATCAAGCCATTAAAAATCCTCCTTGAAGATCTCTTATACAAAATGAATGAGACACATAATTTGAACACCACCAAAGTAAGAGCTCCACTAAAACATGAGCATCTCATTCAATTAACCTGCACGCCCACGGATAATTTAGCAATTTACTCACCGCCCTGCTTTTCTAATTATCCACACACAGCTCAAATTAAAATCCAACAGCGATATTCAGTTGTTTAAACACACAAAACAAAAGGAAAAAAAAAAGAAAAAAACTTTTGTGCACTGTATCAAGCTTCTAAGACAAGCCCACGTCATATCATTCAATAAAGTCGAATAACTTACAGTAACAAATTTTCCACTAATGCTTTTCCTTTTCCAGTTTGTTTTTGGTAGCCCATGAGAATTTGCATGATTATTTGCACAGGGGAGAAAAAATTTTTACTAAAGAACACCAGATAGAACGAAATCAATGCATTATCATCAAGCAAAGTGGAAAGGGTTTACCTTGGGCCACTTCTCCAAATTATCCACATATTGAACTTAAATGACAAACCAAACACACTTGAAGTTTTATCAAGACACGAAAGGTTCTTGTCTTTAAAGCAAAAATAAAACAAAATTTAAACTTTAAGATGAGAAAAGAGTAAAAAAGTTTCCTTTATTTTCCGTACCCCATCACAAGTGGCATGATCATCTGCGCGAAGAAAAAGGAAGAAAAAGGGAAAAGGGTTCACCTGGGGCCATCTTTTCACAACCCTTAACTGCTGCCAAAACCTAGAAAAGATTACCTAGTCGGCTTGCAACAGGGAACCCTCTCACATTGTGTGAAGACGAGCAGTCCAATAGATAAAAAATTGTTGAAGGTGGCAAAACTAGGGCCTGTTTGCTTCCTAAGAATTGTGGGGATCCAAAGAAAACTATGACCGCATAACTGAAAAGGCAAACGGGATGGTCAATTTCACGCAAGCATTCATGAAATTGGAAGTTGGTGTTTTCTTTCTTAACAAGCATTCTGCCTTCCCGTATTTGGTTATTTGCTAAATTTGCTGCCAAACATTTTTTTCTTTTTTCTTTGTTTTCGTCTTCTTTTATTCTCCATCCATTTGGGCGACGCAAGACATCGAGGGTGGGGAATAGGATGGGCTCAAACAGTACAACTCCATTCCGATCTCTTCCCAGTTTGGGTCCACGACAACTTAATTTTACATAAGTTTGGACATGACAATAGATCCAGCTAAGGAACCCATCATGCTGGAACTGGAAGCCTTTAAAAATAGAATGAAATAGGGAGCTGAACTAATTGAGTCGTGTGTAGAAATTCTACCATTCTTTTTTGGGTATCTGATGATTTTAATTTAATAAATTTTTATCCCATTATTCAATAATTTGAGCTTCTAAAATCATCTAGTGGTTGATGTCTCTTTTTAATTGATCCAACAATGAATTGATACCCATAGAACTACCCACTATTTTGTTCATTTTTCCTTGTTTTTTTTTTTCGGTTCTTTAAACGAGCATTCAATTGTTTATGGCCCTGGCTTGACTATTCTTGGAGCAAGGCTCAAACGAGAATTTAAACAAACCCTGCACTCACTCCCTTAAGTTCCAACCTACCGAAATAATTGATGATTGAAACTAAAAGGTACTCTTAAGAGGTTGCCAATTCTGTGATGGCATCTTATAAAAGGCCGCAGGCAGCCCATAGGGGTGAGACATACGTTGCTGGTGGGTCTCTCTGTGCTTTAATTCCTTTATTGTCAGATGCAAAACCATTACAAAGTTCAAGTCGAAGTCAATACCTATTATTACATTGGTGGGAAAAAAGTACAAAAAAAGGGAACAGTACACATACCGAAGAAAGTTCGGACCATTTGGCCAAGTAAACATGCGCGGTTAAAAGCTAGATTCTCAGAACATCAAAGCCTCTATTAATGCATTCCCGTTTCCCTGTTTTACTTAATTGTAGAATCAAGACTTCATTTTCCAAGCGAACACCTATCCTTTGAGGACGTATTAAGGGACTCAAACAACTTATTTTACAACAGACTATCAAGTGACTTGTTGACATATCTACAACTTGGATGGAGATTTCTTTGCACTCCGACCTGCAATGAATTCTTGCATTTTCTTGAACTGCTCCTTGGTCATTCCATTGTAATAGTCATGCGCCCTCTCCTGAGCAAAGCATGTAACAGAGCAAAATATTAGATCATTTTCAGAATACAAAAGTTTGTCAACTGTGCCAATCAACTGCATGCATGAAGTCCTGTTCCCAAAAAAAAAAAAAATGCAGACTTCTCAAAGATAAGTGATTTGTTGCTAGAAGATCTGAATTCCACAAAGACTCTTCTCTATAATGTTACTCATTTTCATTATGAGCCTCTGCGGTTAGCCCATGATCTCCAAATAGCTGCAGCGTTACGAGTCAGCTGAGTAACTTAAATTTATGAATTCCTAACTTTCTCATCTAGATTCTTTTTAGTTAAATACTTAGGACCGTTTTCAAGGTTAAGCACACAATCAACTGTCTGGACCCTGCTAAGTACTAAAAACATAAAGAGGAGGCAATCAAATGATTAAGTTGGTTATGATTAAGCATTATTTGAAGGCTGCAGCATCCTATTAGCTAACTGCTTTGAAAGACCAGCCCAAACCATCTCAAACACAGAGGTATCCTCTTCTAGCTTGTGCAAAGCGGGGAAAGAGGTTTGGTATTCCAATTAATATTGATGAAGCATGATAATTTAAGAAATAGATTGATGAAGCGCAACACACAGAGATACCACAGTATGTTGACAGCAAATGATATGCCTATATAACTTAGTTTAACACTTGACTTCTTTATACAATAACAAACTCAACAGCTCTAAACAAAACCATTTTAGCCATGTTGTTTGGTGAGCTTTGACAACACTAGCACTCGGAATTAAGCCACTGGAATTGGCCATATAAAAGAATGAGCTAGTACAGTGACATAGTGGCCTAACCAAATAAATTCTAAGAAAAACAAAATGGGTAATGAACTCTTACGGGTGTATTGAATTAAACTACAAATAATTTCTGGGGTTACAAACTCCTTCAGTATCAGTGTGATTGATCAACAAATTTAAGCACTTAAAGTTTTGCGTATTTAATAGCCACTTCACAGTAAACCATTAAGCAATCCCCTTATCCTTCTTATGATACATTTCTGGGTTACATGCGAGTATCTCCAGGTAAGTGCATGTGCATAGGCAATCCAGAAGAAGATGAAGAAGAAAAAGTAGGACAGATAACCACCTTTTCTAGCACAAGGGCATGAGCCAAGTCTTGTTTGAATCCATCATTTATAACTCTCTTGTACCTCAAGACAAGGTCTTGATTGTTCTTAATAATGGCTTCTGCAATTTGTCGAGCTTTCTTCAAGAGTTCACTTCCTTCAACTACATGATTTACCAAACCCCATTTCTCAGCTTCTTCTGCAGTTACAGGGGTCGCAGTCAGAGATACTTCACGGGCTCTATTGGGCCCTATGACACGGGCAAGCTTCTGAGATAGACCCCATGAAGGAAATATTCCAAATCTGTAAGAGAATTGATCCAACAATATTAATCAGAATGCGCAGGATAGTCATGAACGTAAACACATCCAGCTTTAACTTAGAGAAGTTGAAGAGCATGAACGGCAAAACATCATATGTAAAAGGTTGCAACAAGAAACTTTCACCCCTAAGTCTTCATATTACACGTCCTATGTAGTCACATTTTTATCTCTCAGACAAAAACAGAAAACCAATTGTATGAACCAAGCAGAACAGACGATCCAAATTAGGTGGTGGGTCAAGATCAAGAGTGATTCAGTGGAGTCTCAATCTCGGCCAAACCAGTTAGTTCTACTCAGCATAAAACTGATTCATGACACTGTCAAGCTTCCTTTTTACTTTCTTCCTTCTTCGGGTAGAGTGTCAGAAAGTTTAAATCTTTCCACTTGTGTCCCTTCAACATTTACCAACTTGCTTAAGCTGGCCTTACAACATCTCCATCAATTGGTGATGCTTTGATCTCTCAAGTCAAGTCAGACTTTCAACACATTAATCACTCTCCATTGATCCTCCAATTTACAGAAGTACTAATATAACTTAACCAGGTTTTAGCTCTGAATATCACTCAGCTACATTCGGTTCCGATTGTCCCCATAATTCTCCCCGAATTTTCCCTCCCAATGTACCCTTTAAGGAGGGGGGAAAAAAGGAAAACAGAAACCGATATTTTAGCTCAAATATGTGCGTTCTACAATAAAATACTGAAAAATTACACTGAATCGGGATTATTAATCGAAGCAATTGACAGCAGCATCGAAAAAAAATGCACATAAAAGAATAAGAATTGGGGAAAAAAATTTAAAGGAAACGAACCTGGCATGGGTATCCATAAATTTAGCATCTTTAGAAGCAACCAAAATATCGCAAGCCAAAGCAATCTCAAACCCAGCTGTGACAGCAAACCCGTTAATGGCTCCTATAATGGGCTTCTTGCAACGCTCCATTTGAGCAACTGGATCGGATTCTATATCCTTGACGTCCCCTTTAAAGACATCTTCCGCAGCAGTCAAGTCCACCCCAGAACAGAATGATCGACCTGACCCGCAAAGAATAATAACCCGAACTGACTCTTCCGCGTCTAGCGACTTGAATGCTTTGGCAAGATCCTTCATCATCTGTCTGGTGAGCGAGTTCAGACTCTTGGGACGGTTAATTGTGACGACACCGACGCCCCCTTGTCCTCGGTTCACGACTATCAGGTTTTCCGAAGAAGTGCCCGCCATTATTTTCACTTTTCCGAAGGGCGCAGGTGAAAACTAATGGACTACTAGTATGTATAGTCGTATAATAATTAGATTAGATTGTTGGAGGGTCGAAATGCGTGCCCTATCGGCTGTTGAATTGAATTAGCTGACGTGACACTTCAAAAAATAATAATAATAAAATTAGTTGACAGCGTGGAGTACCTACGAATCGGTGTTGTAGTTATCCTAAAACAAAAGAGCTAACAAACGTCATACCTTGCTGTTCAATTCTTATGCACCTGAACTAAAAGGTGGCAATTAATGAGTTTATTTGGACGGGAGATTATTTAAAATAATTTTTATTGTAATATTTTTGTAATGCGATGTATATAATATAAAAATATGAATAAAAATTACGTGTATAATGTAAGTAAAATATAAATTTTGAATTTTTTTTTTAAAAATCTTGTAATCCAAACACGTCCATTGTTGACGATAGAAATGAGAATATATTAAGCGAATATAAGATCATCTCGGGTTCTTCTGGGTTGTAAATTATTTGAGATATTTTTACTGTAATATTTTTTGTAATGTGATGTACGTGAAATAAAAAAGTAATTGAGAAGATAAAAAGACATATTGAAAATTGTAACGGTGACGTAAGTAAATATATTTGGGCAAATTGTTCAACACTCTGAAGATGTAGTCAATTTGATGAAATTAATTGTCTAATGTTCATCGGCCAAACGTCCCCAGAGCCACCGTCAAGCAGACGCTTAGCTATAAAGCTGTTAGCAGCATCTGTTGGATGATATGGATCCCAGAACACATACTTTGATCTGTCTGCACAAATTTTAGATGTTGGACCGCATGGAATTAGGCCCCCAAATCGCCCAGCAACGTAGCAGCAAGCTGAATCTGCATTCCCGAAACCTGTTTATGGAAAGCAAAGAAAGGATATACTGCTGATCAGTACAATGTTAAGCACAATTAAGGTGGTGTTCCATGATAGCATTTGCTGCTGTAATTCCGAATGATAAGATGTTGCTTACCATAGGAGAAGTAGTTCTGAATCAAATCATCTACAATGCGATAGGCATCTGCATAAATGAGTTTTGATCCCTTCAGATTAGAACGAAGCTCTGTTACTAGATCCCTCAACTGGCTATTGAACAACTGAGCTAGCCGATTAGGGAAGGCAGCACAGCCTTTTCCAGAAGATGGATTAATTGCCCTCTGATATGGGATGCATCCAATAGGTCCTACATTAACTACAACGATCTTTCTAGCACCCATGTTGTAGAGCCTCTGGGAATGT